AGGCACAAAGGGGTAAAGTGACTTTTCTCAGGCTGCAAATCACACCACTGACAGAAACAGGACTATACCCAAGGAGTCCTAGTTTCTGGGAGAACCAGTAGATGAAGCTCCTTCCCCCAGTTACAAATGACAGATGATTGTAACTCACTGGTTCTCTGCTTTTTAGACTCAAGAACCCCCTCAATAGATGCACAATCCCCTGGGGAAGTGCCAGCTCTCAGTTTTCAATCATTTTTTGGCTATGGAAAAATAATAGAGCAGTTCTTCTGTTGCAAAGAACTTGGAAAGACCACAATAGGGCAGAACAGTTTTGACGCTATGGATTGCTATTTGAAATCTCTGGGTTTATCTTGTGACTCACGTTTGCACGCCTAATGGTGCTAACACTGCATGGTACCCTTTAAAAGCTCTCAAGGCACCCCAGTGCCACAGGACCCTGGCTGAGAATCACTGCTGTCACTGGTGCCACAGCTCCAATGGGCTCCTTGCAAAGGAGCAGGTCCCCATTATTTTTAGATTACTGGTGCATCTTGCACAGGAGCTGCACAGCAAGACTGCAGCTGTACCGGTTACCATGACAACACCATCACTCCTGCTCAAGATGGAGATGACGGGACCAGCAAGGAACGTGAAAGGAGCTGGCATTATCCGTCAGCCTGAAGGAAAGTGATTGGGATTCACCTGAGGCAGCAATCAGTGCCCTGCACACTGGCCTGGCCCCACGGAGCCACCTCCCGTTGTCAGCTCCTTTCATGCCCAGCCTGTGGACTGGCTCAGAATGGACCACACTCTCAGAAAGGGGGCAGATGCTCTGACAGCTGTGTGGGCAGGTGCTGCCCTAGGAAATGCAAGGGATCCCGGGGATACCTCCCCCACAAAGTAGGGGCTGTAGAGGTGCTCCCCACAAGGGCTGCATGTTCCAGCATGCAGCTCGGCAGGGCTGCTGATAGTTTAGGATGCTGGGACTCACCCAAACCTCCTTATTGAGGCTGAGGAGGGCTACACTGTGCTCAAAGTTATGCCAATGAAGTTCAGGCAACCAACTCTGGGTTCCCTTCTAAGAAGTAATGCACTACCCAACCGGTGTATCCCTCCCAGCAGGGAATGGTACATCTTTGCTGTACCCCAAAGAGCCTGGGAAATGTGCTTAAGCAAGGGCATAGCAAAGTCATAGATTCATACACGTTAGGGCTGGAAGGGACCTTGAAAATCATCAAGTCCAGCCCCCTGTCCCAGGGGCAGGAAGTCAGCTGGGGTCATAGGATCCCAGCAACATAAGCATCCAAACATTTCTTGAAAAAGTCCAGAGTAGGTGCCTGCACTTGGAGGGAGTCTGTTCCACGTCTTGGGGGCTTGGACAGTAAAGAAATTTTTTCTTACGTCCAGCCTGAAATGGTCTTGGAGGACTTTATGACCATTGGTCCTTGTTTTACCTTGGGGTGCTCTGGTGAACAGATGTTCTCAGACAGGTTACCTGATTGTATATCCCTTCACCAGGTTAGGCCCCACCTTCAAGGTTTTAAACCACTCCCAGGGCTTCACACAATACCTGTGCAGTAACTCCAGGCAGCTCTGCTTCTTAAAGCCTCATATCCTCAACCCAGGTGTCAGGAAAGGCCAATCCATGCACCCACTTATCCACCACAATACCCTGGCACCCTGTGCTGCTCAGCCTCCTGCCTCCAGCTCTTCCCTGAAACCGTAAGCTCCTCTAGGCAGGGATCATGTCTTCACTCAGGCCTGTAATGCACAAGAACACCTCTGGCCCTGCACTGATGATAATGGCAAGGACTTGAACAACAAGCCGATGGGTTTCAGCTCAGTTCTGAGCACCCATCTGTCCTTCCTTCCGAGTCATTCTGCTGTGCCACAAGGTTTGTACACTTACACGGGGGTTCCCAGCACGACTGGCATTAACTAACCTTCGCCCTGGCAGGCTTAGTGGGAAGCCCAGGAATTGAACGGGCTGTGGTGGCAGAACTCAAAAGGATCCCCTCCTAGTCAGTGCTGAGAAACTCTCAACTGGGCATCCTTAGATAACCCTTTGGGTGCCTTTGATCTCCTGGGCCGTTGGTGCCAGATCAGTACCTTTTCCAGCACCAAGGGAGTAGGGTATGTTCCCGAGTGGCACAGAAGCCAAGCAACATGAGACTGGATGCAACGAGCCCTTCTGGGGTCTTGGGTTTTCCCATCCATCAGCCTCCGAAGTGCTGCTAAAGAGGGATTCCAGTTATTCTGGAAACACAAAGCCTTCTGCAAACCTCAGGTCAGAAGTCCCAAACAATGCTGTATCAAATTGATATTCAGGGACACGTGTGGTGGAGGACAGGGGAAATCAAATACGCTGCATTCTCCTCCCAGCATATGACTAGGAATTGGCACAGGTCCCCACAGAGCCTACCACGTCACCTGAACCCAGCTAAGAGGCCATTTCAAGAGGCTCCTTCTCCCCAGCCCCATCCTCTGCTCTTCTTCCCAGTCTGGGTGCTACACTGTACTTGTGTCAGTTTGTTTTAGTGATCTTGCCACTGGTCAGCGCTGCAGCAGGATCCCTGCAGCAGTCTGTGTTACATCCTTTCGCCCGAGCTGCTTCCTCCCCTGTGCAGTATTCTGCAGCCCTCCCATTTATTACAGCATTGCAATTAGCCCTGCTGACCTCTGAAATCCTCAGCCTCTCTAAGCAGCCATGCATTAAATCCCAGATCCAAGAGTGGAAATAGACTTTGTGAAAGGCTTATGGCCCTATTTATTACATTTCACACATCAGGGATTCTGATTGTACAGCATAATATCCCATTTAATGCATTGCAGTTGTTGCTTTCTCTGCCTCTGTGTTGAAACAGACAGACAGATGGACAGGTAGGAACTGGAGAAGATGGCACTGTCTTGGCAGGTGTCTATTACTGTCTGTATCTTGGGTTGCTAGCGGAGCATGCACACGCACAAGCTAGCAGGGATACTGATCTAAATGAAAGCTAACATGGTGTACTCTTACACGGGTAACTGTACCTACCACGCATTTGTATTCCTCAGAGCAGGGTGTGACGATATGAGCAATCTGTCTGTACAATTTATGGATTCAGTGTGAGGTTATGAACCCTCTGTCTGTAATCTTTAGCAAGCTGCCAACTCCATTTTGAATGTGCAGTCTTTTACCTTCTCTATTGTTTCTTCACCACCATGTTGGAAGGCAACTCCAAAAGGTGATAACGGAGGCCTAACAATAAGCAGAGACAGCCCTCTGCTCACATACACATTAGGCAATTCAAAGACTCAGGTTATGCAGAAGGAGGTTGTCTTTGTCTTGCTATGAACTGACTGCCCAGAGGAGTTTTCCATCTATTGACTGCTCTGTGAAATCCTATGAAATATGAACTTTCATTTCTACCCAGGAGAACTTTTACAGTCTTTTCTCCAATGCCTGATGAGGGTGTTTCTGCTCAAAAGCTTACAATTAAAGATTTTTTTTGCCAAAATCATATTGGTTTAATAAAAGATATCACCTCTACTCTGAGTCCTGATTGCCTCTTGTCAATGAAGTCACCCAGCAGTGGTGGTTACCTGATGAGACTGATCAAGCAGTTACCAAAGAGAGGGACTGGAAGGTTGGCAAAGGCCTGGAGATGGTCTAGTAGTCTCTTCAAGCAAATTTTAGCAGCTTGAGCTGAGAGAGAGTTGCTTATACCAGGACCCTGGATGAGGCAAGGAAAACAGATGCATGCTGGGGGTTCTGAAGAGGCAAGTGAGCAAAAGGAAGCGCATTTAGGGAGTCTGCTGGTTTGCAATGGTTTGTAACCTCCTGCGCTTCATCCTATAAGTGGAAGCAATGGTATGTTTAGAAACTCTGTGCAAAGCCCACATATAGCTGTGTGTGTGTGTTTGCTTCCACCTACCACATGCATCCTGAAGGTCCCATAACCTTGGTGAGCTTCTGGGAAAGGATGTCATTTAAACTACAGTGGGAGCCTGAAGAGTCAAGACACAATCCTGGAGACAGCTGGGCAGAACTGTGTGTTGCAGGTTTCAGGAGAGGATGGGAGATAAAGAACCTGTCCCCAAAAGCAAGCCAAGACAGGCGGGGTGCCTAGGCTTTCTCCAGACCCCAGACACTAAAGCCCCTGGGGATTCAGCAGCCAAGTCCCCTGACTGCACTCTGGTGAGTGGCCAACAGGGGGCACCAAGCTGGAAGCCAACAGGGCACAATGCAAAAGTTCCCCCCAAGAGCAGAAAACTCCCAGGCACAAGAGCTCCTCATCTGTGGTGCATTGGGAAATCAGTGGTGCCCAGGGACTAAGTAAGAGCAAGAAACAGCCTCTCCTCGGGCTAGCGTACCAGACAGCTGCTTGTGCCTAGCATTCAGCCACCGCACACGCATTCATGACAGTAGCTCTCAGCACCATTCCTCGCATGGCTCGCCTGGGGGCTCACAGGCTTTGCTGACTGCAGCACAATGTGGGGATGGAGAACGAGTCTGCATATCAACTGCAGAGCTCCTGGCAAAGCAGGCAACACCATGTATGCATGGCAGCTCCTCGGGGGCTCAGCAAGGAACGTGGGAATGGGATTCTAGGCATTCTTTCTCCTTTAATGTCTTGAAAGGGAAACAGTAAGAAAACCACTAAGCTAAACATCCAGGTAACTAAGGGCCACATCCGTGTAGGAAATCTGCAGCAGGAGTCTCCTGTGCATGTTCCATTTAGAGGATCACACAACAGATCAGTTAGCAGTTCAAACAGCTCAGCTGAGTGGTAGAGCCAAACCAGGGAAGCCAGGGTTTGAGTGTCAGCTCCACAAAGCGGGGCATATGTGGGTATCTCGCTGTACGCACTTATAAATAGATGCACACAGAGGCCCCTGAAGCACACAGTGTACCCCAGGCCCAGTGTTCTCAGGACATCTGTGCACACAAAAACAAACTGAGCATTCCCAGCAGAGGTAGGGGCAGGCCACATAACCCCAGTCAAAGATGTCACCGGTCAAATTAGGGACTGCAGTATCTCTCTACAGGAAATAGCCTTTCCATTGGCATACACTGCAAACTTCCAATCCTACAAGAGGATTTACAGCTGCACATCCCTACTGGCAGAACATGCAAACAATGGAGTCACATACTGCAAAGTGCAGTGCACTCTAGCAGGATGATCCATGAATATGTGTATCTATAGAGGACCAAATCCTGCTTTCATGCCACTGTTTATAGCTCTTACCACAGAAAATATACTTCCCATGTATATCCAAATGCAGAATTTGGTCTGCAGGCTGGGTGCATTTGCTTAGTACCAACCATCAAGTCTCGTCAGGGGCTTGATGAGCGATGCTTCTAGCTTCAGTAACCTGAAACAAGAAGAGAACTAGTAGGCCAGCCCAACAGCCCCCTGGCAGGAAAGACCCACATTCAATCTGCTTTCCCAGAAGAGCTGAACTTTGAGGCTGTGCCTGTTTTTTACCCATGCCTCCCAGCCAGTCCTTGCAAGTTATGAGAGTCAAAGACTAAAGTGACTGACTGCATTCCAGGGAAGGTCAGTGCCTTGGCCAGGCCAGGGACTCTGGCTCTTCTTATAGGTTCCTCTGATAGGTCTGAAGTGTCTTGAGCTATGGAGTCCAGCTCTTTGGTCTGACTAATAAGCTAATTGGGCCAAGTGGTGCAAGGAAGCCAGGTCCACAAACAAGAGCTTAGGAAGTCATCCTTGACTAATACAAATTGCACACATCAGGCCCCTTTCCACTCTAGAGTCTGAAAAAGCAAATCACACATTATTTCATTAAATGAGCTCAACGCACTTTTAATTCGCTCAGTGCCCCAAATGCCAGGCAGAGTAAGGCTTATGCCTTACCTTGCCCCTTCTCTTCCTTGGCCAGAAATACCACACCGACTGGCCCCACTCTGAGAGAGCACAGCCGGCGTTCCCACTGCGGCCCACTGAAGCACAGAATGTGCTCGCAGAAGCACAGGGAGGCACTGCTATTTAATCCGATAGCATGGGTTAGCCTTGTGTTGTCCTAAGTATTTCATCCCCGTTGGGAAATCGAATATTGATGAAGCCATTTGGCCAAACGTGCATGCTAGCCTCAAAAAGCATTTAGACGTTTACAAACTAAACCTGCAGGTCACCCTGATGAGAGTTTTTTCCCCCTGTGCTCATTAGGGAGCTCCCTGCTGCCCCTGATTGGGTCTTGCAAGTAATAGCATAGGAGCCAATTTTCCCACAGCTCTTCTCTCCGCACACGGAAAGGAAGTGCCTGGTGCTCAATGTGCTCAGATCTGGATCCCTTCTGAAACTTCTGACTGCTTCACTCAGGACTGTAAATGAGACAGACTACTGACTCCTTGAAAGTCTGCCTATCTCTATCCTCCAAAAGCTAATCTGGGTTAAAAGATCCTCACATATTTACCTATACAGCAGCTGTTTCAGGTGACCCGTCCTTTAATCGCAGCACGTGAACAGCTATGGGGCAGGGAGGCAGAGCCATTATGCACCTAAACTTTTGCTCTGACCATTAGGTCTGCTACCTCCCAAGTCTGGCAGGGTTCAGTCCATGTACTTACTGACAAAATCCAGGTCACAAAAACAACTGTGACAGTTGGCATTTATTGGCAGGTTTAGGGGAGAAGTCTACAGCAACTAAACTCCTGTTCAGCCTGTGTTGGGGCCCCTCTGGGTCAGAGGTGATGTTGATCATTTCTGAATTAATGTCATGTAACTGCCTCATTGAGAAATAGGGAGACGTGGTACTTGGGCAGGGAATCTCACAGCCCACTTGCTGTAGCAGCAAAGGGGAGCAGCAGTATATAGAAAACTTACTATGCCTGCTCCGTGGGTAAAGACACTTCCTCAGACTACTGCTGTGTTCTTGTGACCCCCTTACACTGGTATTAAACTCACACATGTACAAAATCAAAGGCATATACTTGGCAAACCAACCAAAATCCTGAAGGGGCAAAAACAACTCCAGGAGAGAAGCCAAGGGGCAAAGATCACCAAGAAGGCTCCAGATTTGGCCCCAAACAGACTAAAATGAGGGAAGTTTGACAAGAATGAATAACGAATGATAAGAGGCAGACAGAATGAGAAGGGGAGGAGTGAACAGGAAAGCACAGGTAACTGGCACACCGCTGAGCTCTAGACAGCAAACGAGGTCTCTGGCTTAGATCCTCCTAGCTGATACCCACCCCATCAGTTCTCAAAGCATGACTCAGTTTTTTCCCCTGGACTCTAGTTTCACTCGTCTGCACCCTCAGTACTGAGGCAAGGAGCAAACAGAAAGTACCCACAGTTCAGTCGCCTGTTGCATCTTGTCTCGAGCCTAGAATACAAGGCCTAGATCAGCTGGGGTTCATGCTGGTACAGTTCATGCTGTAGTGGTTCAGTGCCTGGCACGATAGGGCTTGGGTCCTGCAAGTACTGCTCAACAAGTAATAAATGACTACCAACATAACCCATCGACCGTCGCTGTTTCTGTATTACTCATAACTGGAGGTTTTTTTTAAGTGATGGCCACAGACTGAATACAATTCTTTTCAATGTACATGACAAAAAAAAACAACATTTTTTTTTCCTCCTAAAAGATATTATTACAACACAGGGAAGATTTCAAAACATGCCCAGATTGAGAAAACTGAAAGGCTTGTAAGGGCCAGGGAGGCTTTGTGTATAGAAACTCTTCTGCTCTACATGCTGGCATTTGCACATGGGAAACATTTTCACAGGTGTCCCTGCAACACTGCAGTACACAGAGGCCTCTTTTGCCTTCCCACCACTGAGGCAGTTTGCTTACAACTTGCTGCATTTCACTCCATTTGGGAAGTCTGTTTGATTTCCTCGTTCCCATGGAGAAGCCTTCTGCTGTTGTATTTGGCTTTTCACCATTTCAGGGGAGGGTCTAAAAAATCTCCTGAAAAAGCAATCACTATATGTTAGAAAAGCAAAATTGCCGAAACATCCCCGCTTTATTTATACTTTGTAAACTACATGCTGCACCTAATTTGGGCTCAAAATCATCTGATCACAGCTTGGTCTGCACTACACACAGCTCCTTCAAAGGGTAACTTCAGAAAAGGCCCCAGGCCACAACTTGGACAAAGGGAAGGGAAGATTAACTAGCTCTGGTCCATAGGTGGCCAGCACAAGCTAATACATTTTTAAAGTAAATTTAACAGGAAATTCAATGCAAAGCTTAATCAGCTTGAACCAAAGGACCATGAAAATTGCAAGAACCACTTTAAACAAGGAGAATTCCTAGCACAGCATGCCGATTTCCATTTGTGCCCAGTCTATCCCAGCCTCTTCTCCTGGCCCTGGAGTTCCTGGGAATTGCACTAAGTTCACTACAGTTTTGCTGGATGCGAAGTGCACAGTCTTCATGCAGCCAGAAAGAGTTCTGTTGGTACAGTCAGATGGTACAGCACAGAGCATGCTGCAGTCTCTCTCCCACTTGCTGGGTAGTATGTGGCCTGAGCTGCCACACAGGATGTGGCAAAGTGGCCCAATCTGATGAGAAAGGGCAGAGACACAGCAATGATTAAACATGGCTAAGGAGTTTGCCTCCAGGCCTGGCTCCCTGGTTGTAATGGCAACAGCACTCCCTAAAGGAAATAAGGCAAACGAAGTTCTTTGGGTAGATGTGATATTTTTTATTAGACCAACTAAATCGTTGGAAAAAATATTCTTTGCAAGCTTTCGAGCTCAAACACCCTTCTTCAGGCATCCTTCCCTATGCCTGAAGAAGGGTGTTTGTGCCTGAAAGCTTGCAAAGAATAATTTTTCCAACTATTGGTCTAATAAAAGATACCACACCTACCCAAAGAACCTTGTCTGCCTATGTCCTTAGACCAACATGACAACAACCCTAAAGGAAATAGTACATTTTCCATGTGGTTTTCAATGGAGGTATGTGGGACACAAACTCTGCTCCAGGTAGGGCTGCACTGGCAACTGTGAGAAACCCAGGGGTCAAAGCTATTTTGCACAAAATAGGGCAAACCACTGAGCTGTCTGCGATGAAGGCACAGCCCAGCAAGGCAACAGGTTTCAGCAGCAGCAGCGCTCCTTCCAGATCTGCACAGAGGCACTTTCTTTCAGAGGGGCTATTACCCTGGGGCTCCTTCAGCACTTGTCTTGAGTGGGTGTTAGGAACACTTAGTGCTCATGACTGTTATCCCACTGTATATATAACAGTCATTCTGACTGAAATCATAATCACTGCTTGCTCTGAACTAACCCAGCTGGTCTGATAACGGCTGAGATGTACAGCCCTGGCTAGTATCTCCCACACAGGAAAGCAGCCTGGTCCCTCCAGTGCCCTGGCACCAGGGGACCGCTCTATGTACACTTTTGTTCTAAAAGCGTGACCCGTAATTTCCACCATGAGGTGCCCTGACCTGGTGAGAACCACCACCCCATGCAAACAGGGAGGTCAGAGGCAGCAGGCAGCACTTCTTCTTCCCCAGGAGCAACTCGGCTGGACCAGGCTCTCACTTAACCACCATCGTTCCACTGACTTCAGCCGAGCTCCTCCTCTGTCCTGGGGGAAGAAGCAAGAGCAGAATCAGACCCTGTCTGTGAGTCGGGACGGCTGTGCTCAGACAGTGGGAACTGACAAATCCTCCTCCACATGCAGGAGAGAGAATAGGAACCTGATTGAGATGCTGATCGGCTGCCTCATGTCTGCATGCACTTCAGCAATGCACAACAGGGCTTCCCTCTGCATGCTGCTCTGACTATGCCAGCCTCACGCACGCAGAGAGCTCAGATCCTGGAGCTCGCAGTGGTGTGCACTGGGGCCCAGAACGTTCCTGCTGACTACAGGATTTCCTTGCTCTTAAACCGTGGGGAAATTAGAACGCAGCGATTGACTCTTTACTGTGGTGTATGCACGATCTCTTGACTAGACTTCAAGCGGTCTCCAAGTGGTGAATGTGGAAAGCAGAAGCAGCAGCAGCAGCAGCAGCAGCAGCAGCAGCGCACTCCACAAACTGAAACAGGAACTGAGCTGTCTCACCATTCAGGGCTTCCTCACCGGAAGGGGCTTTTTGTTCCAGTGTGCTCAGTGCTGCTGCAGACAAGGAGTTCATAGCTTAGAAGCCACACAGGGAAAGAATTCAAAAAATACTAACAATATACTGCCCCTGTAATCAGCTACTGAAGAGCCTGAGGCACTGGCTTGTATCCTAAGCTACCTTTTATTGCTCCCCTCTGCTGCAGTGGAAAAATTCTGTGCAAAGAATGTGCCATCCAGTCCCAAGGGGAACATCCATGTTCCCAGAATACCCTGGTCTCTCCCCCTTACGCTATGAGAAACCAGAGTTGCACAGCATTGCTCCACCCCTGTGCTGCTCCACATGGCAATGGCATATGGGCCCTCTGGTTCCATAATGTCTAAAGGGAAATTCATACCGTGTTCAACTACTGGGACTTCCCTTCCCAAGGCTGGGAAAGCTTCCGGGAGCTTGGACTGACTGGGTGGGGAACATGGGTAGACACGGAGAGATATAAAGAGCTCCTGAGACATTCCAATAGCTTCTCCTTTATCAATCCCTCATGTAGTCTGTGCTCCAGCTCCCACGAAGCAGCCATCTCGCACTTTGGTTATAACTCTGAAAATTCCCAAAGGTGAAATGGGCTAAAGGTGAAGCTCTGCCTTGTCCTGATTTCAGAAAAGAGTGAGAAGAAGATAAAGGAAGCACCTTGCTCAGACCTGGTCCTAGAACAACCACGCAGGAGGCAATTGGACAAGTGCTAGCCTCAGCAGAAAATGGAAGGCCAGCTAACATACCTGGCCCCAGGGGCTATGACCAAGCCTGAGCTCCCCCCAGCCCCTTGCAGGGGTACCAGGAGCACGTTCTGGACTCTGCCCTTTTCAGCCAACGGGGACATTTACAGCATTTGTTTGTCTTTTTTTTAAACATGAATGTAAACAGGTTTAAACTTTTCAAGAACCCAAGCTTTGTAACCTGAAGCAGAACAGCCTGAAAGGGAAATGGACTGGGAGGAAGACCAAAGCGAACAGGACCAGACGCACCCGTGGGACAAAGAGGTGCGTGTATAAAGTGCTTAGCAGTTCTTGGTAGCTACTGCAATGAAAGCGATAAACAAATACTCATTTGTGGATCTGCATGGCCCAAGCTTGGAGGAAACACTGAAAAGCAAAAAGGCATAGTGATAAGCTCAGGGAAGTGGATTAGGACAAATCCTCAGGTGGCTCAAACAGGTGCTGTCATTGGCTATGGTGGAAGTAGGCAAATTTACACCCCATGAATATCTAGACCATTAACTTTAACCTTTAGCCTTTAATTTAGTACCACAGTGGCAGTATTTTTAACATGTTTGCTTCTAAGTCTGTTCAACCTGGGATTTGTCTAGACTGCAGCCTGCGTGAGATGACTGTCCATCCTAGTCATTAATTTTCAAGGAAAAGTGTGTTGACAGCCTAGCCACCTGCTACACGGCTGCTGTGACAATAGAATCTGGTTCACTACCCCCCATTTTACAAGCCCCCTCCCCAATACAAGCAGCATGGCACCACCCCTACAAATACAGTCCCATAGAGCAGATGCCTTGTCTTCCATTGAGAACTCAGAGGCCACGAAAAAGGAAGGAGTGCTTCGTTGCCAGGGCTGACTGCCATAGACAGCTCCGCTGTTCAGAAAGCTAGCTCACTGGCAATCTGCACCTCGCAGGGTTTATACAGTCCTCTTTCTACTAAATCACTATTTCTGCCAAACAATCACGAGAAATATAAGCCTTTACAGTGTTGCCATGGAGCCATGGAAGTGGAGGCTGGAAAGTAGATTCCTTTGACCAGAAACATTTACCAAAGGAGGCCTGTGCCGTGGCTCCCATGAAAGGACCTGGTGGATCTCAGTCCCCAGTGGGCAAGATGTTCACATCTCACCTGGCTCCTTTGTTGACAGTCTCAATAGAAACAACTCAATGGGTGATGGACTCACCATGGTCTCAGCTCCAGAGGCAGTCCTTCCTGGGATAGCCTGCCTAGCTGCTGCAATGCTCTGGGCCTCCAAAACCGATAACTTAATACTGAATTCATACCCAAAAATGGAACTTTGTGCCAAGGCATTCCCTTCGGGCCTCCCACTGCTCCCTGCCCTTCCAACCAACAATGCATCTCCTGAGTTGGTTTCACCAGAACATAGAAGAAAGAAGGGAGAGCATCTATTATGGCTTCCTGAAGAATCGAGTGGAAACAATCTACCAGGGATCCCTGAAGAGATCCAGGTCTTCTGAGCTTCTCCCTGCCCCCATCACCAACACAAGTATGATGCCTCTCATGTCACAGCGGTTCTGCCTCCGGAGTGGGGCTGGCAGACTCCACCTCCTCTCAGACCATTTGTTCTATTCTATGCACCGACCCAATGAGGGTCCCTGTGAATGGTCCCGCAGTGCTTCTTCTCCGCGCTGTGGGCGCACAGAGTATCTTCCAGGCAGGAACTCGAACTCAGCACTCCCTCCTACCAGAACACCGCAGACCCTGTCTTTAAAAGGAAAAGTACAAAGCCTCAGCACTTTCTTTAAGAGACGCACAACTCCTGGATGTTCAACTAGGTAGAAGAGCAGCCCACTTAAAAACAATACAGCAACCAATTTCCAATGGCAGCCTTCAGTTTGCTCAAAATCACTGGAATCAGTGCCCATAAGCCAAGAAGAAAAGTGTGCACTAGGCAGCCCTAACACAACTCCATAGCCAAGCAATGCTTTCAGCTAAATACCTTAAAGCTGGTCTCCCCAAGAAGAGGTTCTTTTGGGAATCAGTAAGGAGAGGAGGGGATTCCTGGGGGACCAGTGCTATTTTTAAGCTCTGCTGAGTTGTCAAATGAAACATCAGAGCAAGTGGAGTTTCTTACTACAGAAAAGCTTTTGACATTGGAAAGGTTAATGTGGGATAGAAATCAGCCATGTACACAAAGCTCCCTTTACCAGGGGCAGTAGGTTAGAACTTCAATTATTCACCTGTTGGAAAGATGCCTTTGGTTTACAGCTTAAAGCAAAGAAAGGGGTGGGCAGGCGCAAATCTCAGCAACCCAACACTCCCATGGTGCAGGCACTGGCATCCCACAGGGGTAAGTGTGAGAAATGCAGGGCTTGGAAATGGACTGACCTGAGGAGAAGTTCGGAAGGGAAGAAAAGGGGGGTCCTGCCTCAGATCCTCCTCCTCCCACCCCGTGCCCCCAGCTGCAATGGGAATTCTCTGCTCCTAGCAGCTGGGGTCTCACGACTACAACTGACTGCTCCAGCAGCAAGCTACAGTCTGGATGTGTCAAGTTCACTGACGTGATAAAAGATGCCGCTGCCGCAATTCCAAGCAGCAGCCACCAAAACATCTGCCTCAGCCTCTCCTCTGACAAATGCTGGATTTAGCAATAACGCCCCGACCCCCTCGCACACAGCAGTCAGCCTGTGGCCTGCCCTGGGAGAAGCACTCAGTCCTCAGGGGTGCTGTGCTCTCAACTCCAACTGCAATCAAGTGGCAGTCCCCATCTCACTCTCCTCCTGGGCAGTAGGAACCTTCAGGCCTCCCGGCATTTCTCACTGATTCACATATTATAAAAGAAGATACTCAAACGCTGCTCCAGCAAAAGGCACTCTGGATGCAAGTGCAAGAAGGGCCCACCTTTGCACTGACCTAATTAGTTAAGGCCCCAAGAGAAAAATCTTTGATACGCAGCTATAGGTTAGGAGTGAGAGTGGCACATAAAGGGTAGAACGGGGCTCAATCTATGATGAGTACCTGGAGTTATACATGTATCGGCTTCATTGTCACCTAGCATACTGGTTTGCAACCCAGGACCTCACTCAGCTTTTGCACCCCGTGAATTATGCTGCGAGTGGGATGCCAAGAGGTTAAATGGGGAATACTGCGTTCCAGCCCATGTGATCTTTAAACATCTCCAAGAAGCAGCCTGTGTTTTTTTTCCTGTGCTATTTTTCAAAGAAGTCAAAAATGGAAAAATCAAACTGCTCCTTGCTCTTCTTGGGAAGCTGAAAGATACCATAAACCTTCCCTGGCATAGTCCATAGTATCCACTGCGGCTGACACCTTCCAACACCCGCTACCACTAGACAGATTAGCTCTAACTGTGTTATCCCTTGAAGTTGAAATGAACTAGGCAGAATGGATTAAATTAGTCCATAAATCATCCATTTCAAGTGACTACAAAACAATCTGGTTTTGGTTTAAAATAAAGAAGGAGGAGGAAACATCAAAAGAAAAACCCTTATTTTCCTTCTGTAGCAATGCAGTTATCAGGTGAATCATCAATGCCCTCAATATGTAAATAGAAGTTAGTCTGCACCCTCAGCTCAATCCAGTATCATTAACCATGCTAAACTTTCACTGTGCCTCTCCCTGAGGTTTAGCTTGCCAAAATGAGCTGAGGCACGGATCACCTATTCCTTTGGAGCTCCTGGCTGTGCATTTCTGCAATAATACTGCAAAAAAAAATACAGGAGAGGATGATGGGGGAGAGCTGGAATTCTTTAAGACTTCCATGAAGCAAATGGATAATATTCATGATCTCATGGCCTCCTGACATTTCAGCCTCTTAGGATAATCTGATCCTGCACTGGAACACTGGGGACTTTGCGAAAGCAGCTTTCAAGCTTCATTGAGAACTCAGTAACCCAGTTGTAAGCAGAGGCTAGTACAGTAGTAATGGGGAGAGACGTCAGAGGCGAGTCTGGGAACCGCCTCCCGTTTATAGTTATAAGAAAAGCATGTGACAGCAGCCAGACTACAGGCTTCACTGCAGTTTCACCAGAGGTTAAGGTACAAGCACAACACAGCCTTACAACTTCAATTATTTTTCAAACAAATGCGCACAAATCATATGGTGGGTTTTGTACACCAGACTGTAACCCTTCCATGAGAGTGGAAGAAGATGCAGTTACAAAAGCACCTTCAACACCACATAACAGACCCCGGCTGCATAACAGACCCCGGCTGCATAACACTTCCGAGGGAACCTGCTGCAGTCAGTAAAGATCAGCATCACACAGGACATTAGCAGCAATCTTCTGTACATACCTACAGTGCTGCTACCTATCTGGCGTCTGTGTGTGCCAGTGCACATGTGGCCCATATGAGAAAGAAAAACATGCAAAACCAGAAGATTATTTTGGGAAAGGTCATGAAAAAAATTACTCTTAGTTTAGCACAGGCCATCTGACACCCCCTTTGCAGGACTTGTTCACAAGATGGTGGTTTTGCACCAGACATCCATCCAGAGGATGGCAGCTTTGAGAATGGGCTTAAAACCCGCCCCCAACCCATTGGAATAACAATTTAAATTAAACTGTACAATGCAAAACTTGGCCTGGTAAAGTCTTTACACAGCATATAACATAATAATTCCAGTTGATGTTAGCCATGTCTGCTAGCAGACCCACGAACTTTCACCTGCACGAAGAGCGCCCAGACTAGCACAGACTTTCTGAAATATTTTGTAGGGCAGCACGAGAATGCCATGCAGATGCCATGCTACAAAAACAGCCTCCTCTTCTCCAGTGCTTCCTAGTCAGTAACCCCTTTAGTAACAAGAAACCCTTCCAAACCAGAAAATACCAACTCTGCTTACAAAATCTCCCCTCCCCACTTCTGCCCCTTTATCTGTAATCAAACTGCCGGGGGCTGTCGGTCAATAAATAATACAAGTTGCTCCCTTCTCACTCTCCCCATCTCCTCACCCAACCGGCCCAGTCCTCTGTCAAACTGGAACGCTCTAGCGCTGCGGGGTGCAACAAGAGGGACAGGGCACACCAAGCTAGCTGGTGGCCAGACCTCCCTGGTTCTGTCCGGCATTTACACTAGGGGCAAATCAGATTTCCAAGAGTCCTTGGCTCTTGTTTGTTGTGCACCCAAACAGCAGCCCTTCCCCGCTGAGCAGGTGAGGGAGAGCAGGGCAGCTGTTGTGTAACAGGCGGCTTGGGAAGCGGTGGATGACACACAACTGTGGCAAACTCCGGGCCCCTCCATGTGCCTGGGAAAGCAGCGGCAGAGCTCCAGACCCGCGGCTGCCTGCTCGATTGTCTCGTCCCTCTCCAGCACCCCCCAAAATGGAAAAGCATGCAGCGCTCTGCCTAGCACACGCTCTCCCGTGACTGCGCGCGAGCTGCCAAGGAGGCAGCCCGGCCGGAGCCCAGCCACGTCCTGGAGGCAGCCCGTTTGCAGCACGAAGCCCCCCAGACACGCGCTGCCCCTCGCCTCCCGCCCTCCTTCCCTGCGGCTCAGGGAGTCACAGCCGCTGGGGTCGGCAGGGACCTCAGCCGATCATCGAGTCCGACCCCTGCCCGGGGCGAGAGAGAGCGCTGCGGGTCTTGAGCCCACAGCATGCAACACATCTCAGCGGAGGGCACGGGAGGGAGTCGGGAGAACTGCACAGAAAGGGGACTCGGAGGCGCTGGAGCCGGCGCGACTCTTGCCCCGCACGGCTCGGCTCGGCTCGGCTCGGCTCGGCTCCGGGGCCAGGAGTCCACGTGCGGGTGGTGCTGAAAGTGCCCGGCGCCGCCAGCTCGGCCCGGGGG